CGTGCAAGCTACATTGCTCGTCACAAACGGCTGCAACCAAATATAGACGATATATCAAAAAATGACGTACCGAACCGAACCGAACCAAACCGAACTTAAGGTTTTCGAGCTCAAGTTCGACTAATTTTCGAACATGTTCGTGTTTGTTCGTTTTAAAGTTCGAACAAAATCTTTCGTTCGTGTTCGTTCGTTTATTTGTTCGACAATTTCTCATGTTAGTTCGTTTCAATAGTCGAACTTGTTTGAAATGTTCGACACATTCGAGTTCGAATAGTTCGGTTTGATAACAGCCCTACTTATGAGGATCATTATTTCAATAATTGATAATTTTATGGGGTGTGGAGCTTTAGATTTTCATTTTTTAACAAGAAAATCGATCTTTTATTTAGGTTACCTGTAGAGCAGTCGATGCCGGTGTATCCATTTTCGCAGCTACAAACACCGAATTCGAGACATTCGCCATGGGCACCACAATTGTTAGGACAAGAACCTGCCAAACAAACTAATAAAAGGTGAGTCGAGGCAAATTTTGTAATATCACGTTTATGGGTGTAAGAAAACGGGTTAGCCAATTAATAAATTCATGCACTCACGCTTGCTACAGTCTTTGCCCTCGAAACCTATAAAGCAGTGGCATTTTCCGTTAATGCAATCGCCATTAAAATGACACGAATTAAGGCATTCGCCAGATCCAGAAAGTGACTTCACATTGCAAAGTTCGTGGTATGCAGGGCAGATCAGCTGACCTTTAATCACCAAGAATATAAGTAACTAAAAAGTGAATTAATATTCAACGTAAGATAACATATTATGTCGGTATTTTTTGTACCATTGAAACCAGGAAATTGAATGGGCCCGCCGGCTTCAGGACAGACTTTCCAGATTCCATCTACAGCGACCTACGAAAAGCACCCAAAAATTATAATCATAAAAATGATGAGCATTAATTAACCAAGTTCATTAAAATTTGAAGCTGAAATAATCTTATTTTAATTAATATGTGAAAACAAATCATTGAAAGTTACTGGTAAAGTACCTCAAGCGAGTTGTTTAGACACCTGTGCTGATAACAACCATTTCCTTGCGTAGAAGATCCTCTTACAAACCCAATACGCACTAATGACGAGGCCATGCACCTGCAAAAAAACCATCAACACAAGAAAATTCGACGAATCAACTTTATAGTTTCTTTTAGAAATAAATATATACGACAAAAAATAAATATAAACTTAACCTTGAGTCACTTCCTCTAACTTCACCTAGCATCCTGTCGGGTGCTCTAGCACTATTAGTGTCTGTGCATGAACCATCAGAGTAGGCCACAAAATAAGTGCAGTAATCGGCCAATGATGACTGCCCACCTAAATAATAAAATAAAATAAAATGAAATAAACAAAAAAAACATACATTTACAGAGAAAAAAAAAAAGGACAGACTTACCTTTGTTGGGCTGTGGAAAATATTGGGCCCACTGCGGAAGATCCCCACTGTAGCTCATTATAGGACAGTATCCTTCAGCCTCTCGATTATACGTACACCCGGAAAGCTGAGTCGAGTTGCAATGGTAAGCCCCTTTCCATTGGTTACAGGGAGAAGTAACAAATTCGGTCCCTTGATGATGGCCCCACTCGAGATGGTCAGCTGAGCTGTAATTAGCTCGATACCATCCGCTGTCCTCGAGCAGAGCAAGTGTCATTCTAGAAACTACCGATCTTGTGTCAACCGATCCCGTCATAATCTCATTCATCAAGAGTCTTTTCTCCCAGTGGGACCCTGTAAGAGTGAAATTAAGAAATGAACGAAAAAAAAAAAGTAAAAAATGTTTGAAAAAAGGTTAAAAGAAAAATCAAGAATGTTATTTACCGGATGTGCCACGCCCGCCGCCATCTTCAAGCTCCAAACCAGTGAAGTTCTCGGAGAAAGCCTGAACAAAATGATAAATGCAAATAATTCTCAACAAAGTAACTCCTTAACATTCTTCGGGACAAAATAGAACTTTGCAGGGAGAGCAAGAAAACTCACCCCATAGTGATAGCGTGAGTGCATAATAACTCGAGGAAGCACCACTCTTGTTACCATACGTCCGAGTTTTTCATCCATTACCTGCTCTGTAACCTACAGAGAGAATTAACAGAGAGTTTTTCATCATATTCAAGTGATTGTGTGAACTTTCTTTCTGATGAATAAGCCATTACAGGTAAATATGGAGCATTGAGAAGTTGTGTTCTTCATACATGGCATAATATTTCTCTCATTAACTCTGTTGGTAGAGAGTTATAAGCATTTGAGAGTAAAAATGAAAAGAACAGAAAATAAATTGAAAAAGAATAATAGTTATATTAAAGCTATTGACCCACAGTGATCTGGATTCGACGTTGTGTCAGAATTGAAAATCGTTACACAATGTACCTGCGTACGCCTTCTTTTTCTCTCATCCCGAAAATGAGCAAAAGCGTGGGGGTCAAATCCAAGAACATGCATAACCTACACAATTTAGAAGCTTTTCACTACTTGGGATGAAAAAACACACCTACAGAACTTTTTTAAACACAGTGTAAGAAAATTAATTCCATCCCACCTCATGAATCAGTGTAGCAGAAAGTAAAGTTTCTGCTTCGGCAGTCAAGTGGCGAGGCGCAACATTTACATGCCCTGCACGAAAAATGTGATCGTATATACAATCAAATGTACTCTTTTCAGAATCCATCTCATTCAAAATACTCCAAAAAAAAAATAAAAAAATTATACCAGCAATAGCACGACCCCATTGGTCCCGTTCACAGGCCACAGCCCATGCCAAAGTGTTCCCAGTAGTTGGTCTTGTGGTGACCAAAAGAACTAAATCCGCATCAGCAACACCCTCTAGAAAATAAACAGATAAAATATATTAATCATTTTGTCTGTTAAAAAATCTCAACTCTCAAGTCACAAGTCACTTTGCAAGAAAGATAACCTTCAACATATCCCCTGGGAAGCTGTACCCCTCCATCCTGACCACAGGCAGAGTATCCACTCAACCGCAAATTACCCTTCACGGGCTCAACAGATAAGGCTCGCTTAAACCATTCAGCTGTCTGCCCTAGAGCCTGGAAAAATCTCTAAACATTAGTTTATTCCTAGTACCCCTGTTAAACGATATGACGAAATGTATAATGTAAAATTATTCAAACTGAAAAGAAAAATGAAGCATCCCCAATTTTCTCCACTAACAATGATATGTATGTTGTTAAGAGAATCACAATGAAATCTCTCTCAAACTTTGTTTAGGTTAATCAAGATCACTGTAGAAGGAAAATGGAAAAAAGGGTAGGAACCGAACCTTACGAAGACGGTACTTTTTGTCCTCCCCAGCTACATCATCCAGTGTACAATTATACCAGCAATCACCATAAATTGGAGGACTCCCGCGTGGGTCACAAGAAGGACCACCAGAAAAAGAAGCACCGTTTGGCTCCCCCAGCTGGCCCAAGTAAAAATAGAAACAAATAACTAATTAAAAAGAAAAAGGGCATAGATCCACAAACTTATAATTAATTTCAGAACACAATTTTTCCCTTTTTTTTTTTCCATATTCGTTGCACTCACTCACCTTCACTATGTCACCCACATTGCTGCAGTCCCTATCAGATAAGTGTCCAACAGCATCATAATTTAAATAAATCCTAATGGGGGCTTTGGAGTCAAGTTCATTCCTTGATAATTCAGATGCACTAAGCAAAGCCCTTCCTTTTCTTTCGAGAGGCTTCTGAACATCAGGCTCAATATAGACCTGAGTAGACACAGTGTACACCTTTCGGCCAGGTCTTTTTCTTTGTTCGACAATCTGGTCGTGAATGCAAGAATGTTTCTCTATAATGTCTTTGTTCTGTTCAGCACCTGAACTTTGCAATCTATATTCTTTGGCCGTTGCAAATGCAGCTTCCAAAAGCAGCAAAAACAGTAGAACCTGAAAAATCAGATAGAGTTCATACGTTCAGGAGATTTAGAAAGATCACAATTGAGTATATTTTGGATCCAGCTTGTATATTAAAGCTTAGTGATTGACTTCCAAGGATAAATTAATATAACAACATGCACAAAAGTTCTCCAATTTGCTCCAACAGAATCAAATTGTACATGGATATAAAGTTGTTGGATCCAAATATCATAGCTATGTGCAGCTAGTTCCAAAAAATTAGTCAATAGGAACCAATTTTACCCACAATTATTAGCTGAAGGATATGGCAGGCAAAAGCACAAGCCCTGAAAGAATGTTGAGCTTTCAGAAGGAAAAGATTAATGACAACAAGTTTTGACTATAAAAATGGTGAATAAAAACAGGAGTATAATAATAACTTGTTGTAACAAGAAGCTAAAAAGCAAAAACTACCCAGAAAGGAAACTATCAAAGACATGGAAGTGTACTATCAGCCCATCTTGCAGGAAAAAGAGGTGAATAAATCCTAGTTCAGAACATCAAAATTCACCAAAAATAGAAAAGAAGAACACAAAATTACAAGCTCTTAACGTGAGTTGAACTGAGAGCTGGGAAGTAATAACAGATTAACAGTTGAGAATAATAATGAAGAAAAAATGGAAAGAAAAAAAAAAAAAAAAAAA